CACAGGCTATGAATTTAGTTTGATGCAACAAACAATTGAAGTATTTGCAGTGTGCAATGTCTGTTAAGAGCCTCTACATTCATTTGGTTAGTATTAAACCCCAGGTTTCCCATAGATAAGTAGAAGGGTTTCTCTCACAACTCTAATTGTGTCATTCCAATGTCTTTTGTGTCTCTGTTTCATGTTTGAAATTAATTTTTTAGGCATTGGAAAGGTTTACCTGACAAAAGATTGATCAGCTCTGCTAAGAGATCTTCCAAAGTAAGTATAAACTAAAAAGGTGCTTTCCTCAACATTTTCTTTTTATCAGTGGGAATATTTTATTACTTTTAACATTATTTTTCAGGATGACTGCAATCTCAACAATAATAATAATGATAATAACTGTCTAGTTTGGGGCCCTTATTATATGCTGGGCCTGGTGCTAATGACTTTATATGTTATATTGTCTTCAGGAATCCTAGGCACAAGTGGGATTGATATGTGGAGATGTGGTGTAGGTGAGAATTTTCTGTCTCTATCCTGTGTAGGTTCAGCTTCTAACATAAACATTGGCATCTCATAGTCAGGGTTGTTTGAACAGTAAAATGTCAGACCTAAAATGGGCCTTAAGGTCATCTAATCTGATGATTTTCAGACTTTTAAAAGTTTAATATGTGGTAAAAAATAAATTTTGCAATGAAAGTTTCCTGGAGTAATTCTTACTCTAGATGTATATGTGAGAGTGCTGATATTTTCTTTTCTATTCTATTTAATTTTTAAACAGTTTGGGCCTTGATTAACCAAATTTGATTGTATGACCTATGAATAATTGCAGTTATAGTTTAAAAAACATTATGGTCTGTCTCATATATCTTATAGGTAAGGAAACTGAATTCTAAATGGGAAGTGTGTTGCTGAAGCAGTTGGCAAGTAAGAGGAAAATTAATGCAAAATTAGAACTTTAGGAAGAAAGACTGACTCTCTCCCACTTGCATGAAGTTTAAAATCCTACTGGATGCCCTTTATTATTATTTTTTCATGAGATGTGTTTCTATTCAGTGTCTTGTGGTGGTTAATGTAAAACACTAAGAGATGGTAGATGGTTTGAATGAACAAATCACTTTACCTCTAACCTCTTTAGAATAAGAGAGTTAGGTTTAATTATTTCTAAATTAATTATATTAATAGGTATACATGAATATGAATCTAAATTCAAAAGGCATTAGGAGCTTATAATGAAAAGGATTCTCCTTTTTTCCCCTCAAGCCAATCAGTTCATTTTCTCAGGGCAACCTTATTTTTAATTTTTTTTGAGGGAGTATATATCTTAGAAGGAATAGGGATCAGATGATCAATAAGATTTCCTTGAGCCCCAGTGTTGTAGGATCCTAAATCACTAGATGTGAGAAGAATTAATACTTCAACTTTTTTTGTAGATGCCTCTAATTGTAGACAGGGTATAAATAAAAGTAGAAAATTTGGTTCTGTGTGCACTAGTTCTCTCGATGTTCCCCAAATGCTGATGGTATTATCTGCAGGGGATCTCAGTCTTAGGAGTGGAGAAGGAAGAGTGAGTGGTGTTCCCCTAAGTAAACTTCAAGGCACCCTCAAGGGGATAGTGTTGGAAGTTGCTAAATTCCACTCTAATGTCATAGGGAAGCAGGGAGATTATTCATTTAAAGATGCTTACAGAGGACCTGTACTGAAACCTGGTGAAGTAGTTTGTTTTGTGGAAGAATATTATGAAGATATTTGGGGAATGGGAAATGTCTTTTTATCATCTTCTAGGCCGCAGAACTTTTTAGTTACCATGGTAATTCAGCCCTTAGTCTGATACTGAATACAGGCAGGAGCCCGGCAACTCAATCATACATAGCCTTTATATCCTTCTTTTAGCTTCCAGTGTTAAATTTGAATGAGACAAAACTTCCTTGTCCTCAAGGTGTCAGAAATATGGTTGTAATCTGGATTCCAGAACCAGAGAAGAATGTGAGGTGAGTATCAGATTAGAACTTGGTGTACCTTTGATATTTGTGTCTTACAAATCCCTGAATCCTCTGCAGGCCTCTTTTTTGTGATTTCCCTTTTAGCTACTTCACTGCAAGTAGTGGGAGAACAGCAGAGAAGGTGATTGTGGTCTCTTGCTTCTGCCTCTTACTACACTGGAGTTGTTTTATGTGGTGAAGCTTCTCTTTATCAAATTTTACTTGGCAGTAAATAGCATACAATATAGGGTCTAGTTTATTTGTGTGGTTTGATTAAAGATTAAAATGCTTTCTATTAGTGTTTCTTATTAGCTCTCTCAGCAACTCGTAAAATCACTCAGTGAAGCATAGGAACCTCTGATCTCCACCCTAAGGCCTAGGATAGTGGTACAAAATGAATACCATATAGGACCTGTATACAAAGCAGAGCAAGACAAAGATCATTTGGTGAAAGTTCAAAGATTTGCTAGTGTTGATAACCGTGGGGATATATTTGTGATCTCTGAGGCTTTTGGATTCTTAAGTGATTGTTTGAATTAGTTCCTTTCCTTTCTTCTTTTTGTGGTACTGGGGATCAAACTCAGGGCCTTACGCATTTGAGAAAAGCACTTCCTTGAGCCACACCTCAAGCCCTGAAATATAGGGCTAGTAGCCAGCTCCGTGAGACAATCAGAAGCCAGGGCTCCTTGTAGCTTTCGGGCCACTTTCTTTGCCCCATGGCTTCTGTCTTCCAAGATGCTTCATAGGTGCCTTTTAAGGTCTTATTTTAAGGTCTAGCATGTCCATTTCCCAGACAAGAAGGAGGAAAGAGAATAGAGCAAGAAATACTTTTTGAGTTCTTTCTCTGGCTTCGCAGTGAGGATCCAGTGAAGAATCTTATAGATTTGGTCCTTGTGCTCCTTGAGCCATATGGAGGAGTCAAACATCACAAACATACATATATCATTTCTAATTTATATTCACTATAAAAGTAAATTACTAGGTTGTGAGAATGTTGGGGACCTAATTTAGATGTGTGAGTGAGGAGTCTTTTTTAGCAATAGATACTTTTGAGCTCCCAACCAGCCATCTTTGAGTACTTACCAGAAAGGTAGACTTTTCATTATTCATAGTGACCTGGGTGCTTTGGCTTAAGATGTCTGAGAAAAAGTGTGGTTATTCTTATTTCAAGCTTAGCTAAGAAGACACATACTTTCCCCAGCCAGGATGAGAAGGAGGAAAGAAAGAAATTGGCAGTGGTGAGTTTGATTTTTTTTTCTATTTTACCTAGCTGCTTTATTTTTTATTTCCACGTAAGTTCAAACTCGTAATGAATTCTTCAACAAACATATGTTGTACCCATGTTACCTGAATGCAGTTTTATCTTTTATAAAATCCAGTAAACTCTTACTCTGGCATTTGGATGTTTGTTAATGCTATTTGTTGTGTCTTGAAAAACTTTCTTATTTTTGAAAAAAAATTTCTCTTAAGATGTGCAGATGCTTTGGACTTACTATAATTTCATCAGCATACAGGGATTTCTCCTTGGACCCCTTTAGTCTGCTCCAGTCAGAGCTGGTTGTTCTCTATGTTCACACTTACTATCCTTGGATCATTCCCAACATCTTCCTAGGGATTCCCTTTGCTTCTTTTTAATTCTGTATGACTTGGTAAATTCCATGTATGTGAGTTTGATTTTTGTCCCAACCCTCACGACGTTCCTCTGTATGGTTTATTTTTGTCTTCCTTTCTAGTCTCCCCGACCCTCACCTTTGTTTTCTCTCTGAATGAACAGAATCTGCAGAAGAAAATCCTGCTTTAGGAATATTAACCAAACTTCTTCAGACTCCTTTTCCTAAGTGTTCTCTGTAGGGAAGTA